TTGACCGCACATTTCTCCTCATAGAGCCTAGCCTCCCGGATAATCCGTTCTACATATAGGTTGAAAAGGTATGGAGGCAGGATGCATCCCTGGCATACGCCCTTCCCAATTTTGAACCATGCAGTGTTCCCTTGCTCTGTTCTGACGACTGCCTCCTGGTCCAAGTATAAGTTTCGCATTAGAACGATCAAGTGTTCTGGGATTCCCATTCTTCTCAGACTCAGCCATAGTTTGTTATGATCTACATAGTCAAATGCCTTTGCATAGTCAATGAAACACAGATAGACATTCCTCTGGTATTCCCTGTTTTCAGCCAAGATCCATCTAACATCAGCTACAATATCTCTAGTACCACGACCCCTTCTAAACCCAGCCTGGACTTCTGGTTGCTGTTGTTGTTATGTGCCATCGAGTCGTTTCCGACTCATAGCGACCCTATGCACAACAGCTCTAAACCCTGCTCTATCCTGCGCCAACCGCACCGCCTCTGACACACCCATCCCGATTACCCCAGTCACCGAATCAATCCATCTCATAGAGGATTGATGTGCTGTTCCAGTCGTTTCTGGATAATCTTCAGTAAAATCTCGCTTGCATGTGAAATCAGTGAGATTGTTCTGTAGTTTCCACATTCTGTTGGGTCACCTTTTTTTGGGATAGGAACAAATATCGATCTCTTCCAGTCAGTTGGCCAAGTGGTCGTTCTCCAGATTTCTTGGCACAACTTGGTGAGCATGTCCAGGGCAGCATCTGTTAATTGAAATACGTCAATTGGTATACCATCTATTTCTGGGGCCTTATTTTTTGCCATTTCCTTCAAAGCAGCCTGAATTTCTTCTTTCATCACTATAGGCTCTTGCTCATATGTTGTTTCATGAAATTCTTCTGTGTCTCCTAATTCCTTTCGATACAGTGACTCAGTGTATTCCTTCCATCTTCTTTTAATACTTCTTGGATCATTTAACATTCTGCTGAAAGCATCCTTGATTATAGCAACTGGAGGTTTGAATTTGTTCTTCAGTTCCTTGAGCTTAAGATATGCTGAGCGAGTTCGGCCCTTTTGATTTTCTGACTCCAATAGAACACACAATCTTTCTGGTTGGGTACCTCTGTGATGAACTTCTAACCTTTTGATTACCAATTAAGTATGTTCTAATTATCATCTCACCAGGTAGATACTACTTCTAGGAGAGTTACCATGGTATTTTCTTTGAGTGAATATGCCTATCTCCCTATTTTGAAGATTAAGGAAATAAGTGTGTTGTTATGGATTTTCTATTTTAGATTAAAGTGTATTTGAGCATATATTCTACCCCTTCTCTTGACTTCAACTATGGGGCAGTTTCCGGTCAGTTGTGGGAAGCATGGGGATGTGTGTGTGTGTGTGTGTGTGTGTGTGTGTGTGTGTGTGTGTCAAACTGCAAAAAGTATATCTGGAGGCACAAGACTTGTCTAGATCTGTACGATCTTAGATGAGAAATACCTACCAGATTTGACTCTTATGGAGGAAAAGTAATAGTCCTAAATGAATATTTTGGAAATAAGAAAATACATGTTTTCCCAGAGCCAGCATGGATTAAAACCAAGATTAATTCTTTTATGTATTGTGTAGCATTTCTCAAAATAGGGATAATATTTGAAGATACTTTGAGAGGGATATAGCACACATAGAAGTAAGTAAGCAAGCCAGTTTGGAAACTAAAATGTTACTTCCTTGTCAATGACTGGCTTTACTACGAGGAAAGGTTGTAATCTCTGATTTTTACAATTTAATTACCACTTTGTAATGCTTCTATCTCTTCAGAATACCTTAATAATCAAGTAAGAATGTTACATGTTAGTATGGCCAATTCTATAGAGAGACAATATGTTCATGAAAAAGGGACAATATCTAGGAATTCCAAATAGTTAACAAGCAAGCTTAACAATGAGCACTGTCTCCTAGGAGGAAATGAAAAGACATTCAGTATCGTAAAACAACTTTCAACTAAAACTTCAAGAGAAAACAGATTTCTTTTAAAAAATCATTTTCTTTCATTAATAATTGCTTGTATAGTAGCTTTGTGGTAAGAAATCACATTGCCAACTCAACGGCAAATGTGTCAGAGACTCCTAAGGATAAAGTTGGACAGTTTCCCTGTGTAATTCACAGTGTTTGAAAACCCACTTGAGGGTCAGCTATCAGTAGATTCCTACTCAAGGACACATAACAACAACAACGACATATTGAGTCACTAACCTAAAGGACAAAAGATTTAATACACCAGTATCTCCTCAGGAGAAAGTTGGGTTGCCTCCTTCTGTAAGTATTTACATGCTTAGAAAACTAATGGAGGGTCACTATGAGTCAGAATAGATTGAAGACAATGTGTACAAGGAACTCTTTTTCTCAGTGGATTAAATTTTAAATCTATGTACTGAGTAACTAAGGATCACAGAAGAAAAATTGATGTCTTTGAACTTCGGAGTTGGGGAAAAGTGCTGAACATCCCATGGACAGCCAAAGAACAAACACATGTATCTTACCAAAGTATAGCTAGAGTGCTCCTTGGAGGCAAAGATGATGAAGCTCACTCTCACATAGTTGGGCATGTTGCTTAAATTTTTCCCTCTTTTAACAACTGGGATCTAGAGGGAAGAGAAAATACCAGAGAATGGCCAAAATTATTGGGGCAGCTATTGCTGCCAGTTTAGGGCCTGTGTCAGGAAAAGGAAGTCTTACTCATATACAGTGCCACCCAAACTTAATAAAGGAGGTCAGAATTGCTTCCACTGTGGAAAGCTGGGCCACTTCAGTAGACAGTGTCACAGACGAGAGCCACAGATAGGCGAGGGAGTAGAGAGGAAGCTCCCACTCACTTGCTTTAAATGTGGCTCTGAAGGACACTTGGCCAAGGTGGATCACATCAGGTTCTGCCTGGCTGACAGGCCCCAGCTCCCAGCTGGAAACAAAGGAGGACGCTTCAATGATTTAGATCCTCCCAGAAGAGCCCTGGATGAGCATTAACATTACTGGTACATATATTCATTTTCTCCTGGACACAGAGCCTACTAATTGGTCCTAAAAGCCTTCTGAGGTCCCAACTCTTCTCACTATTTCTTAGTTGTTGGAATGGATGGAAAACCTCATAAGCAGTTCCTTACTTCACCTGTAACTTGCATGTGAACTTCCGAGTTGTAAAACAACCCAGTGGTAGATGGAATTTGCTCCAGGACTTAAGAACCATAAATGACATAGCTGAGCCTCTACATCTTGTGTTTCCTAACCTCTACACTATAATAGACAAAGAGCTAGTCTATAGGCCTTTTATTGTAAGAACCACGTTCCCTATGTAACTTGATTTGTGCCACTGCTAGAACCACTACTCGGAATATTATTGCTTGTTAATTTTTGACTCATGTACTTTTAACTTGTTAGTTAAATTTGTGTCTTCTAGGCTGCAACACTTCCATGATACATCTTTAAGGATATGAACATGTACGGCTGAGCACAATTGATAACAGTGCATCTAAATTCCAAAATCAATCTCCATAATAGTCTGTGTGTTTCCTACAGCCAAAGGGGCCCTTTAGAGTAGTGAGAGAAGATCTTCACCCTGAAACCCACAGTGCCTCTTTTCAGCAGGAAGTAGCTAAGAGAATACGCCATCCCCTTTTCCTTATGAATCAGGGTGAAGTCTCTCTCAAGGAGGAGTGATAGGGAATGGCAAAGGACACACTGACAGAGGAGATTAATCAGAACTGGCTTTGACAAGCACTGTGGCAATTGGACAATTAAAACAGACATTCGGGGGGGGGAGAAGAACGAACTGGGGAGGAGGGTAGAGAAAACAGTGCAACAATGAATGAACGAGAACCCCAAATCTCATAAATGTTCATTAAAACTAATAAAATTTAATAATAATTTTTAAAAAATGCTATAAATATTTGTATTCATTATTTCTTTTTTTCTGTCTATAAACCCCACTTAGTGGCAAAAAGTTAGTTTTGCTGCCAACTCAAAGGCACACATTTCAAATCCACCAACTGTTTTGTAGGAGAAAGATGAGTAATATCCTCCTATGTGATTTAGAGCCACAGGAGTGTCAGCTATGAGTTGGTTCCCAATTAGACAATAACAACCACCACCACTCACTGGAAGATCAACTATAATTTAGTACCAACTTGAGGGCACATAACAACAACAATACAGTTTTACCAGTCCTGGAAGAATTCTCAAAACTCTATAAGTATTTTATTTATTTCACCATAATTTTAGGACTGCATTAATGTCTATATGTTATTGTCTATATATAATGTTATTTGTTCAGGAAATATTGTGTTCTCTAAGCAACATTAGCTCAAAAACACTTCATACACAATGCATTGCATTATAGAGTTCAAGTATTCATACAGCTCCAAAGATATTTTGTAGGACCTCCGAAGCTCAGAGATACATTGAACAGGAGGTCCAATAAAAATCCAAAATTGGCTGTTACTAAAAAGTCCTAAAAGAGAGAAAAACCAAGTAAAAACAAATGTTTGGTTTACTTAAATAGTTAACAAAAATTTATTGCAAGAGATATTTTTTTCACTGAATTTACAGTTTCAAGGAACATGGTACAAAACATAGTGCCATCAGCTTTGTCTAAACATTAAATAGGTGCAAGTACACAAAGTTTAAAAAAACCAAAGAGCATACTTTACAACATAAGTTACAGTACTATAAATATATTTTATGTACAGTATACATACTCTTAAGACATCATTTTAATATACAGCATATATTGTATTGATTTTTCAAACTATTCAGTGCTTTAATAATAATATTATATATCAGAAACTTAAGAATATATTTGCATCATTACACTTACAGTAGGTTATTTCAAATCTATGAGGCCATAGACTTTAACCAGCTCCCTTTCCCCATCTAAAGAGCCTCTTCTCCATTTAGATAATTACTTGCTCATATAGTAGTAGTTTTCACCAGGGCATTTCCTTTCCCCTTTAATGGTGATGCCTTAGAAGAGGGGTTGCAGAGGGATGACAGTAGGATGTGGGGAAAGCAGTGAAGGAAACAGGGAATGGGGTAAAGGTGAGAAAGCCAGATGGCCAGGATGAAGAACTGAAGCTGGAATGATTGGCATCTGAGGAGGAGCCACAAAAGTTGGGTGGTTCCCAGGACAAAGCCTAGGTCCAACTGAGATCTGAGGTAAAGATGTTCTGGATAGAGCTGGGACTTGGGAAAAGAACTGTTGGTGTGGTTGGAGCACTTTAAAGGTTCCTGCAGCTGCGGCGGCGGCTGCAGCTGCTGCAGCTGCTGCATGCTGCTGCAAAACAGTGTGGTGGATTGTGGTTACAGAGGTAGAACATAAGGGCTGCTGCAAAGGCAAAGGCTGCAGAGGTGTGCCAGGGGGTGGGAGGGCAGCTGGAGGAAAGGTGAATTTGACCTTGTTGGCCAGCATGTTTGATGGTATGATATGCTGGTAGGCCTCACACGGTAGATCTTTGAATTTGTCATGATTTTCCAGAGGGATTAATAATGCTTGCTCTGGCAAAGCTAAAGGAGCCAAAATTTGTTCAGTTGTTACAAAAGTATGACCATTGACATGTGCTTCTTTAAATGGTAATGGTGGTTGTGTGTTAAGGATTCCTGAATTATACCGTAGCCATTCTGTTGAGGCTTCGTTCATCTTTCCTTGTGGCAGGGCCTCAGCCAGTTCATAATGACAAAGGTATGATTTAGGCTGTGGTTGTCTAAAGTTCCTTTCAATGCTGGACACCTTGGCAGGAATTTGTTTATTATCAATATTGACATTCTCAGATCTTTTCTTGTGTTCAGGCAAAGTGTTTTCAGTTGCTACTTTAGTAGGAACATTAGATCCTTTTGTTGGGACAGTAGGTCTATAGACAGATGTAGTGGGATCATTGGAAAACTCTGTAAATTCACCAGAAGTGGTTTCCATAACTAAATGTTCCGTTTCCTCATTGGTTGCAGAATCGGTGGAGTCCAATGTCAGATTGTTTTCAATCTCATCTGTTTTGCCAGAGTTATTTTCATCTTTTGTAGCTCCTTGTTCTTTTGTTTCCTCTTTTTGGTCTTCATTTATTAACTCAACCAAGTTGCTTAAGGAAGAATTGTCTTTTATGAGGCAATTTACATTCTCTTTAAGTTCCAAAGCTTCATTCCTAGTATGGAATCTGCTTCTTTTTCTCCTCCGTCTCTTTTTAGGTTTACAGGTAGCAACTGAAGTGCTTGATGGTCTCAGAATTTCTTCTGGTAAATAATTCTGACGATTTAAGCTTTCATCTGAAGAGTAAGAACGTGAATGCTGTCTACGTTTTCTGTGAAATCTTTCTGATTCAAGAGAATTATAACCTCTTTTAACAGCCTGATTCTGATTTACACATTTCACATCATTTTGAAGAACTAAGCATTTGTGCTCTTTGCTATAGTTCAACTTTCTAGCTTTCCAACTACAGAAAGTTCTAGAATATGTTAAACTATGCTTCCCAGCATGTATCAAGGATGGATTTGAGTGTCCATTTAAAATGAGTGTATTATTTTTATGGTGGCTTTTAGAATTAATAGCATCACTGTTGCTGTACTGGGTGTTCCATGTTTTACTCATTTCTTCATTTTCACTTGGGGATACAGGTGCTGCTTTTGGTCTTTTATCGGGTAAGTGATGTGATTCTGCTAATTGTTCGACAGCTATATACTGCTTTTCTGAAATTGTTTCCAGTACATTTGCCCTCGTTTTATCAGTGTCATTATTCTCCATTTCCATTTTAAAATTATATTCTAATTCTTTGGTTTTTTCCCTATGATGATGTGGACAGAATTTTCTTTTTCTTTTTTTTCTTCGACTTTTGTGGAACCAGGGTTCATGACTTTCTTTCAACCTTATCTTGTGTTTCTCATCAGGTATGTCCTGTTTTAGTTGCTTTTTAGAAGAATTAGATTTTTCCGTGTTTCTGATTCTGCAGGATATATTTTTAAATCTCAGGCTCATTTCCTCATTTTTCTCAGAATTATAACTGTTGGAGACAGTTTCATCTGCTAGAAGAGGAGTGAGCTGGGTATATTCTCCTCTATCACCTGCAATTTCATAGTCAGTGAGTCCTGTGACAGACGTGTCCTTGTATCCTGAAACTGGTCCCTTGCACATGTCTTCTCCCTTCTGCTGAGAGGAAAGATCATTTAAGGGCAATTTATTTTTATCGAGCTTGTGGTTTAATGTAGTAGACTTGAAGTCGAAACAGAGGGGGTTGCAGCTATAAGAGACTGATGGTTTAGTCGTTGTATAAATCAGCATTTCTGATGGCCACTGAAGAACTGTAGATCCATGTTTGTTAAGCACAGGTACAAATGGCTCATATTGTCTTTTACATAAGCCAGTTTTCTTAAGTAAATCTACATTTTCTTCTTTAGTATCTGCAGGTGTCAAAATCTCAGCACCCTGATTTTCACTTTCAACTTCGAGTGCAGCATTATTCTTTTTATCTTCATCTTCAATTGTGGGTGCACTATTTTTCTGTGTGGTAACTGCCAAGGATATAGAATCATTAGGCAAATCTATAAGTATGGGTTTATTGCCTAACAATTCAGAATCACAGCCATTCATTGACACATCTTCATTAACAATAGCCTCTTCTGGTATCTTATCTGCTTTGGGATCTGAATTTTGGCAATTATCTGCCTCACAAGATAAAGGGAGTTGAAACTGACTAAATGGAGGTAATATCACTGTCTCTTTTTTGCTAGAGAACTCTTTCATCTCCTGAGTTTGAAAAGATTCTTCTTTGTCAGAGTCCATTGCCTCTGGTGGATGAAAAGTGTTAGCTTTCTCCTCAGAACTCAAAAGCACATCTGTTGGTGACGATAGTTGAAGATGACAAGCACTGGGGAAAAATCTACTTTTTCTGCTAAATCCTTTTTCCACAGAGGCATCATCATTGTATTCAGAAAAGGCTGCAGCTGAGGACTCCAGCTTCACTGATGCTTTCTTTGGAAATGCAAAAGAAAAGCCGATTTTGTGTCTGTGAATTCCCAGGGCTTGATCCCCACATTGGTTATTTTTTGCTGTGTAATTATTTGAGCTTTCTGGGTCTGCTGCAGCAGCAGTAACATCTTTAGGATTCTCTTCACTATGAATCAAAGCATATTTGAATTCCTCCTGGTTATTAACTGAATCTACAACAACTCTTCGTGAAATTTCATTAAAGTTTTCTCTCACAGTAACAGTTGTTGACTTGAACATGGGGCCACTTCCAGGAGCACTACAAAGAAAAAGAAAGTTTTTATTAGATAAGGTACATTTTTAAGGAGGAAAAAAAGATCCAAACACATAATGAGAAATGGCATGGTAAGATTTTCTTTTTTCAGTTTCTTAAATTTTTATAAGAGAATTCTTTAAAATTTCATACAATTTGTCTTTTTGCTTCTAACAGGTTCCATCAGTTACTGGCTATAGTTCTGATAACTTAGAAATGTTGTTCAGGAATGACTTTTGCAGCTCATTTCTATGCTTTCAACCAGTGCTTTCTTGCCAAATGTCTTTTTTTCTGATGACCTATTCAGTACTTCTTGAATAGTTGTAAAATTGTCCAAAATAAAAAATACTTTTTATTTCATCAGTACTTAACAGTATCTCTCATGAGAACTCTGGTGGTGCAGTCCACAGGGGGCTGCACTGCTGATCCAAAGGGAGTGTTTCTATGGTAGTTTGAATCCACCAGCTAATCCAAGGGAGAAAAATGGGCAAAATTCCCATGATACTTACAGTCTCTGAAAACCTACTGTGGGGGGTGAGGGTCGGGAGCTAGCAGTTTATTCCAACTCAACAGCAATGAGAGAGTAACATGATTGCTGTTAATGACAAAATAATGAACATTTTAAAAAAAATGATGACAAAAATCTCACTCATAAGTTCCGAAGAGTTGGAAATTCGGCTTAGCCACTTCATTCAACCAAATTTTGCTGAGTCCACAACAGACTAAGCAGAATGCTTTAATGGAAAGCTAAGAGAAAGAACGCTGCTGTTGTTGTTGTTAAATGCCATCGAGTCGTGGCTGAACAGGAGCTTTAAGGCTTTTGGAATTGCTGTTCTTAGTATTTAAAACTACACTGAAATTATACATTATATCATAATTTAAAATAAAAGACTATTAACCTATTATCATTATGTTGTTAAGTGTCATCCAGTCGAATATGAATCATAGTGACCATATTGGAATTATTTTTTTGTAGAAACAGTTTTTTAAAAATTATTATTATTAATTATGATGATGATAATGATGATGATGTGTGTTCAATGTCAAATTAACTTGGAATTTTTTTAAAAAACATATTGCTCAGCACATAAATACAGGAAATATCTAAATTGTTTTCTGACACTAATGAATCCTATTGTGTATAATTTCTCATGCTAATCTCAAAATTCAGTTTCTGATTTCTTGGGTATATTTCTAGCTGCTGAATAGGTGGGCCATAAGGGATTTCTGTGTTCAAATTTTTGAGGAAATGTCAAATGGTCTTCCAGAGTGGTTTTACCAATTTCCAATCCTACCAACAGTGCTTAAAAGTTTCGATCTCTCTGCATCCTCAACAACATTTACTGTTCGCTATTTTGTTGAATTTTGCCTTTGCTGCCAAAGTGAGGTGGTATCTCATTGTTCCAATTTACAACTAATTTGTAAACCTATGTTCACAGCCATGTCATTCACAACAGCAAGTAAAGAGAAGCAGCCCACATGTCTATCAATAAATGAATGGATTGAGAAATTGTAGCACGTTCAGACAATGGAATACTTGGTAAAATACTGTATAACTTGAGAGAGATTAGAAAACATTTCACTTATTTAAATATCTCAGTCACATCGGGACAAAAATTGCATAAGGCCATTTTTGTGAAAATAGAAAGATAACTGAGAAAGACATGTGTAAATGTTCAAAAGGGAAAGGAGACAAAGGAGGATGAAAAAGCGGAAAGGGAGAAAAATCGCTGGAGAGCAAAGGTTAGTGAATAAAAGTGGCATGAAGTAATGGGGAAAGGTTCCATGAGAGCTTGAGAGGACAGGGTGGTAATAAGCATAGAGCAATGATAATTCATTATAGAAAATATAATGTATTTTAATGATTATATAAAACAGAAAGTATCTGGACAGAACATAATGTATATGAATAATTATATGCAAACCAATAAAAAAGTCTAAAAAATGAGTATTTCTGAATGAGCCAAGGTGTGGAAGGAAGAAGAAGACATAGAGAATACAGCATCACTGTACCAAAAAGAAATGGTTGATACAGAAATAGTTCAGGCAGTAGCATATGATAAAGAGCCAATGGTGATGAAGGAAGAAGGTCAGCTGCATTCAAGAAATTGGGGGAAAAATAAGGCCCCAGGAATTGATGGTATATCAATTGACATGCTTCAACTAACAGGTTCAGCCCTGGATGTGCTCACCAGTCTATGACAGGAAATTTAAATATAACTATCTGGCAAACAAACCTGAAGAGATCCCTAGTTATCCTCATTCTGAAAAAAGTGATTCAACAGAAATTATCTAATAATATCATAATGCCACATGCAAGCAAAATATTGTTGGTGACCATCCAAAAATACCTAGAACAATACACTTACAGAGAACTTCAACCTGTTCAAGCAGGTTTTAAAAGAGGTCATGGGCACAGGATATGAACAGACACTTCACCAAAGAAGATATTCAGACAGCCAACAAGCACATGAAGAAATGTTCAAAATCCCTAGCTCTGAGAGAGATGCAAATCGAAACATCTATGAGATATCATCTCAACCCAGGAAGAATAGCAAAATGTAACAGAATGGCAAGCAACAAATTCTGGCGCGGTTGTGGAGAAACTGGAACCCTTTTTCACTGTTGGTGGAAGTGTAAAATGGTGCAACCACTGTGGAAAGTGGTGTGGCACTTTCTCAAACGGTTGCAAATAGAGATACCATTTGACCCAGCAGTTCCACTACTGGGAATATATATACCCTAAAGAGAACATAACTGCCAGCCAAGCAGATATATGCACATCCGCGTTCACTGCAGCTTGGTTGACAATAGCAAGGAGTTGGAAACAACCTAAGATCCCATCAGCAAACGAATGGATAGAGAAGCTGTGGTATATTCACACAATGGAATAATACACTGTATTGAAAAACAAGGAACTCATTCAATATTATTCAAAATGGGTGACCCTGGAGAACATTATGCTGAGTAAAATATCTTAGTCACAAAGTGCCACTGTTGTAGAATGGGACTGACATCAGGGTTGGGGTAAGACTGAGGAAAACTGGATATATTATGTATACTGAATTGAAACAGACAAGGGAGAGAACAGTTTAAAAGCAATATATGATAGTGTATTATGATTATCACAGGAATCCAGAAATTAAGGTTGCATAGTGGAGTACATTCGGGACAGGAGGTGGGGGTAGGTGGGGTGTAGGGTGGGGGTTCTTATACCAATGAAGAAGTTTATCTTTTGATTTTCAAAGAGAGGAGTGAAGTGGGAGGGGTAAACAAAAATATGCAACAATGAATGAATGGAATCCAAAATCTCTATAAATGTTCATTAAAACTAGAAAAATAAAATTAAAAAAAAAATAAAACTTGTATACTCCAGTGGAGGAAAAAAAAGACTAAGGTGAGTCTGATCCAAGCCATGCCTTTTCAGTTTTCTCATATGTATGTAAAGATTGGACAAACAATAAAAATGGTAAAAAAAATTTTAAAAATGAGGTCATGAAACCAGAAATATCATTGATGATTTCCAATAGATGATGACTGAAAGAAGAGAATACCAAAAATATTTATCTGTGTTTTATTGACTATGAAAAGGCATTTGACTGTGTGGATCATAAAAACAAAATGGCTAACATTGAGAATATTGGGAAACTCAAAACACTTGTTTGTGTTTATGTGAAACCTACACCTAGGAACAGAAGTTATCATCTGAACACAGCAAGCCTGATTTAAACTTAAGAGAGGTGTGCATCAGGGCTGAATCTTTTCTCCATACTTATTCAATATGTATGCGGAGTAAATTATTTGACAGGTCAAAATTTTTTATGGAGCATGTGACTTCATGTTGATAAGACTCATCAACAACCTGTGTTATGCAAATGACACAAACTTGTTTGCTAAAAGTGAGGAGAACTTGAAAGGCTTGCTGCGGAAGATCTATGGATTACATCTCAACATCATGAAAACAATAATCCTCAATTCTGGACCAATATGCAACATTATGATAAGTGAAGAAAAGACTGAAATTTCAACAGTTTCACCTCACATGGATTCATAATCAATACTTTTGGTACCAGCAGTCAAGAAATCAAAAGATACATTGCATTGGGAAAGTGTGCAGTTAAGGATATCTCCAAAGTACTAAGGAGCAATGAAGTCACTTTAAAGCCCAAGATGTGTCTGATTCAGGCCATGGTTTTTTCAGTTACTTGATATGAATCTATGAGCTGGACAATAAACGAAGATTGCAGGTGATTATTGATCCTAAATTAGTTTTAGTGTTGGAGAAGAATCCTGAATATCAGGTGGACTGCCAAAAGAAAACATTTATATCTTGGAGAAAATACAGCTAGAGTGATTGGTAGAGGCAAAGATAGCAAAGTTTTGTCTCAAATATTTTGGGCATGTTCTTAAGAGAGGCTAAAAGCAAATACATTGTGCTTGGAAATGTAGAGGGTCAATGAAATAGAGGAAGACCCTTAATGAGAAGGTTTGAAATAGAGGAAGACCCTTAATGAGATGGGTTGACACAGTGATTACATCAAGCGTGTCAGAGATAAGAATGACACAGGATCTGATGGAGTTCAGATCATTGTTCATGGGGTCATTATGAGCCATAGTCAACTCTGCTACATAGCAACGTTAACAAAGAACATATGAAATATGCAATGTATATTTAGGAAGGTAACTTATATAAAGACTATACTATACATATATATATATATATATATAAAATTTATCTATCTACCTATCTATAATCATCAATTCTAATTTCTATTTATATTGAAATTTACATATGCAAAGGCTACTAGTGTCAAGAGGAATCAGTCTTTGGAACAAAGGCATTAAGCTGGGTTTAGTGGAAGCTCAGAGAAAAAGAGGAAGACACTAAAAAAGACAGATTGACACAGTGACTATAACAATGTGCTCAGTACTTCAGAGATGAGGATGGCACAGGATAAGGTTCAGACATGTTGTTCATAAGGTCGCCATTTCTTAGTTAACTTGATGGCCCATAACAACAATGCATAATAACAAAAAGCATAGTAACCAACAATGACTTATAGACCATTAAATCACACAGATTTTATTCTCTATAACATAAATTTACACTTGTACACTTTTATCATTTATTATCACACAAAATAAAAATATCTAGTTGGTTCAGTGGAAGAGCTACATTCAGATCTATACTTGCATGTATATATTAATTGCTACTATATCTGTTTTTAACTGTTGCCTATAAAATTCCAAATAAAATTAAAATTATTCTTACTAATTTTGACATCCAAAAAAATGTTTTTATGTACAAAAATAGCTCAATATTAGTGAGTATAGACTAGACTTGCATAATGTAGCTCTGTTTTTTATAATAAAAAATAAGGCTTATTTTGGGGGCTGGGATTTCATTTTTATTTTTTAATGGATATTCTGTCCTAAAGTCTACGGTCTGAATTGGAAGACTGTTCACATTTACCATATACCATACTCTCAGGAATGGGTCAAAGTTTAAGAGTTGTGAGTTGCTATCAACCCAGTAATTCAGTTTATACACAGTGAAACAGTTTGGCCTGTCTACAGTTCACAGGTCTTGTTGATCTTATTTTTTTTTTGCTTCTGTTGTTCTTTAATCATAAAAGCAATCCAAATTTAAAAAAATATTCAGCTGTTATTTAAAAAAAACCCAAAACCATTTTGAGTAATATTGCATGAGTTCCTTGTTTTTTAATGCAGCATAGTATTCCATTGTGCGAATATACCACAGCTTCTCTAGCCATTCGTTTGTTGATGGGCACTTAGGTTGTTTCCAACTCCTTGCTATTGTGAACAAAGCTGCAATAAACATGGGTGTCATACACTTTTAACTTGTTAGTTAAATTTGTATCTTCTAGGCTGCAACACTTCCATGATACATCTTCAAGGATGTGAACATGTACGGCTAAGCACAATTGATAACAGTGCATCTAAATTCCCAAATCAATCTCTATGTGTTTCCTACTGCCAAAGGGGCCCTTTAGAGTAGTGAGAGAAGACCTTCGCCTGAAACCCACAGTAGCTAAGAGAATACGCCATCCCCTTTTCCTTATGAATCAAGGGTGAAGTCTCTCTCAGGGAGGAGTGATAGGGAATGGCAAGGGACACACTGACAAAGGAGATTAATCAGAACTGGCCTTGACAAGCACTGTGGCAATTGGATAATTAAAACAAACATGGGGTGGGGGAAGAAGAATGAACTTAGGAGGAGGGTGGAGAAAACAGTGCAACAATGAATGAATGAAAATCCCAAATCCCTGTAAATGTTCATTAAAACTAATAAAATTTAATAATAAAAAAACCCCAGAACCTTTCCTCTTAAAAACTCCAAGAATAACACAAGTCAAGAGACAGTGCTGTCTTCTTGAATTAAATTTTATGAATCTCACACGCATGAGAAAACCCATCAGAACAAATTGGATATCATTAATATAGCTGAAATAGGAGCATAATATGAAATGTATTAATTTTTTTTTTACCATTTGAAATCATAGTAATTTTGGCTTCCTATTGAAGTGTACTCTAAACATACTTTTGCATAGAATTCAAATTTAAAGTATAGCTTAGGAGTCACAAAAAGCCAGGAAAAGGTGGGTACCTTATTGTGGGAACAGACATAAATGGATTTTTGCCCTTTATCTCCACCTCGCATTTTCTTTTCTCCTGTTTGAGGAAAACAGCATGTCATTGAACACTCACCACACAGTTTCCTTTCTTAGTTCTGCAAGCTTGTGAAGGCGTTGAAGTGCCTTTTCCTGTTTTCTTTCATCTTTCCTGGATTTAGATGCTACATTTCGAGCAAATTCTCTTTGTTTCAGTTCCTTGAGTCTCTATTAAAAAAATACAGAAATGATTAATAGCATTTGAGCCTGTCATAGTATCAAAAGCTATTGTTGTTATTAAAAAAAAAAATTGGGTCTTCTTTGATGTCATCTAAGAAGACAATACTCATGACAGTCCACTTCTATCAAAGTCACTTATGAAAATGGCAAAGTATATCATCATTGCAATTTATTAATAGAAATATTTTTCTCATGTTTTAGATGAACTAAGGTACTGTAATGACACAATGTTTAAAGTGCTTAGCTAATAATCAAAAGGTTCTAGATCAAACTCCTCAGCTTCTTTGAGAGTGAAAAATTTGGCTGTAAGTTTCTGTAAAGATTTGTACCCTTGAAAACTCTCTATTTTGTAAGGAATTCTGGTAGCATAGTCCACAAGGAGTTGTAGTACTAAATAAAAAGCTTCGTCTCGCTGGCAGTTTGGATCTGCAGAACAGGGATTGACAATCCGCTCTTGAGTGATTTACAGTTTTGGATGTCCAATGAAGGGGCAGCTCTGGTTTGATTTCCACTCAAGAGCAATAAGTTTGAGTTTGATAGGGTCACTATGAATTAAAGGTAACTCCAATAGATTTTTGATGAGTATAGGGTAAAGTAAAGTGGAAATCTATCATCTCCTCTTTTTGATTGGATTCTAAGGTTTTATTGTCGTACCAGATAAACTTTTGAAGTGTTGCAAACTTCTAATTTTAAGGAAATTAAAGTTTCTTCTATATTTCAGTTATTTCTTCCTTACACTTCGATCTGTTCTATATTGGAAAGCTAGCTAGTTTTTCTATTATTTTATAAACAATAGTGAAAGCTTTTTCTTAATCCATAATGAAATGACCTCGATTGATGTGACTGAAAACTAGCAAACCCTCTCCCCTCAACCATCAAGCTACATTTCTGTAATAATTAAAAATCTAGAAAGAAAAATACAGCTTATCTAGAAACGATTATTGCATTGTCCATTATTTTCAACTTGTTTTAAGGACAATTTTTCAGACTACATGCCCCAAAAAGGACATGCTGACTCAAATAGAACTGAAAATCATATACTGTTGATGTTATGTGCCCTGAGTCATTTTCAACTCACAGTGACCTATGTATGCCCAAAGGAAACACTGTCTGCTCCTGCACCACCTTCACAATCATTCCTATGGTTGAGGCCATTTCATAATCGTTATGGAAATCTATATCATTAGGGGAGTATTCTCTTTTTTATTGGCCCTCTGGCATTTATCCAGTGACTTGTTCCTCCTGCTAACTTGCTCAAAGTACTGAAGATTAATTATTGCAATTCTTGCGTTTAAGGAACATTCTGGCTGAACTATTTCCAAGAAAGATTTATTTGTTATTCTGGAATCCAGGGCCCATTTAACGTTGTTGTTGTTAAGTGCCATCCAGTCAAGTACGACTCATAGTGAACTTATGAACAAAAGACCTGAATTCTGTTCTATAACTATGTTCTTTCTCTATGTTCACAGAGTTTCCAGAGGCATGTGGTTTAGGAAGTGGATTCCACTCCTGCTTCAAAACCTGAATCCATCTGGGAGGTCCACCAAACACTCTCCATGATGGGTAACCATCGTGGCATTTCACACACCTATGACACAGCATTCAGCATCACAGCAACCCCAACTTACCTCAGTACATCAAGTAGATGGACCATTGCTACACCATTTAGAAGAATGTTTATGCCAAAATCAATTAACACTAGACCTGAGGGCCTGCAGACCTGGGCCCTACCACTTTTTAATTTAGGCACACCCACCAGTTGTTCCTTGACTGTAAACCAAGAGACTTTCAGTTCACAGCTTATTGTTAGCTAAATCTGCCAAATCCAATCAGCTGACAGCTAGCTGATTATGGACAAAACCCCCCAAACCAACAAAACCTTCCAAACTCCACCCTCATAAAGATGTGAGAAACCATCATCCAGAATCCAACCATTTCACACAAGCCTCCTGCTTAATATTACATTGGTTTTTTGCCAGTATCATACATCAAAGTCATTAATTCTTCTTCTTCATTAATCATCTGGATTTTGGATGCATATGGGTTAATTCTGGTGACCTGTGGCAAGAACCTATGCTGCAATCGCAAAGGCACATGATTCAGGCCACCAGCTGCTCTGTGGGAGAAAGAAAGGCAATCTCCTCCTGTGCTATTAAATGCCTCTGAAAACCTGTTGGACGGTCAGCTGGGGGTCAGTTCTGACTTTAAGGTACACAACAACAATGTGAGTTAACGAAATCCACTTTAGTTTGAGTCAGGCTCACCTTGGTCCTCAAAGTGATATCTATGACTTAAAAATTTTACTTAAAGTAACCCGTTTGGTTTACAATTTTAAAGATGTATTTTGAAGTATTTTCCAAGGAATCTTTTTTTTTTTTTTTTAGGAATCTTTTATTTATGGCTGCTACTTAGCCTAGTGGCAAGAAGCTGCACTGCAATCCTGAAGGCATATGATTTGAGGCCACCAGCTGCTCCACGGAAGTTGGACGGGCAATCTCCACCCATGCAATTAATTGTCTCTGAAAACCTGTCGGAGGGTCAGCAATCAGTTGGTTTTGACTTGACAGAACACAACAACAGCAACAATTTCCATGGGCATAGATTGTGGATCTAACAGAAATAACTGAAAACTCGAGTATTTTTGTATTTATTGTGATGTGATTTACTGGTCCATTTTATTTTCTGTGTATGATTTCAGAGACACCAAAGTAGTCCTATGTCCCAAATATTTTGATTATTGCTTTTCATGGAGATAGCGCAATAATAACTAAATGACTGAAGTACTATATTCCTCCTAAAATGGTAATGCTTTTATGTAATTGTGATATGTCAAAAGATTAGAATCGGACTCTAAAAACATAAAATAAATTCATCCCATTTTCATGAAGAGATGGAGATTGGATATTTAAAATAACTTGGTTATTCACTGGTATATGTCAGGAGCTTATTAGAATAATACCTAATATTCAATATATATTTCTTAAATTAGTATATGAATTACTACAGCTTGATACCATCAAGTAGGTTCTAAACCATTGAAACATCTCTAAACAGTTCTGTTTGATATGCTATACAGTGTTAGACCATCCTCTCATAATCATTGCTATGTTTTAACCCATTTTGTTAATTACTATATTGGTTCATCATTATGTAGCTGACATAACCTTGCTTGCTGAACATGAGGAAGGCATGAAGCAGAAGATCAAGGAATTCAGCCTTCATTATGGATTACATCTCATTCTCAGGAAAACAAAGATTCTTACTACTAGACCAATAGGCAGCATCATGATGGATAGAGAGGAGACTGAGACCTACAACAGCTTAGCTTCATCTTGCTTGGATCCACAATTAACACCCTTGGTACCAACAGTCAGGAAATAAGGAGACACATTGCACTGGGAAAATCTGCAGTTTAGGGGCCTTTTCAAGTTATTGAGGAGTAATGATGTCGGTTTGAGGACTAAAGTGTGACTGATGCAGGCCGTAGTTTTTCTGATTACTAACTATGCATTTAAAAGCTGGACAATGAATATGGATGACAGAAAAAGAATTGCCACCTTTAAGCTGTGGTGTTGAAGAAGAGCAATAACATCTCATGGACAGTTAAGAGAATGAAAAAAGGTCTTGGAGACGGTGTAGTCAGAGTGCTCTTTGGAGGCAAGAATGATGAGACTTCACCTCACCTAATTTGGATATGTTGCTAGGAGATGTTATTCCTTGGAGAAGGATATGATGATGGAAAGGGTGGGGAGTTGGCAAAGGAGAAAACCACCTTCAGTCAGGTGGATTGATGTGGTGACTGCTGGAATGGGCTCTTGTTTGTCAGGAAGTTTGAGGATGGCGAAGGATAGAGCAGATGTCAGATCTTTTGTTCATAGGATCACTATGAGACATGCTCGACTCGATGACACCTAACAATGACAATGTTTTGTTCCATTTCATCAACTCTACTTTTTTGCTGGCCTACTATACTAAACATAACACCCTAAACTACGAGAAAAGAAATTGTTGTTGTTTGTTGTTCTTATTATATTTTATAAATTCACTCATTTGTGTTTTCTCTTTCAGTAGCACTAGATAATTAAGAAAGATTTTTTTTTAATCACTCTACTTCTGAAAATCAGCTCATGAAAATTTTGTTAACTGACGCGCTTAGCTTGGCCAAGGTATTAGCAGAGATCAGCTTCCAGAGGAGAACATTATATTAGTGAAGCAGAAAGTAAAAAAGAAAAAAAAAAGTAAGAAGGCCATTCAATGAGTTGGACTAGCACAGTGTCCATGTTGAAAATTTGAAAATGCTCTTGTTGAAATGACTGCAAGAACTGGTTTGAAAATTGTGGAAAGAATGAGCATGGCACAGGATGTTGTTGTTGGGTGCCATCAAGTTGTATATAACTTACAGCAACCTTATGAACAACCAATCTAAAGCGTGTCCTAACCTGTGGCATCCTTGTCATCTCTGAAGCACTCAAGCCCATTACGACAGTCACTGTGTCAGTCCAGCTCATTAATGACTTTTCTCTTTTTTGCTGACTCTCTAACACGGAGCTCTGATGACTTAATAGTAACAAGCTGTACTGCAATCTCAAAGGCACATGGTTCAAATCTGCCAGTGGCTCTACTGAAGAAGAATGGACAATCTCCTGTGCAATTTACTGTCTTTGAAAACCCCTAGAGAGACATAGTGTTCCTCTCCAAGCTGTGCACCAATCCCAAAGCCATGTGACTTAGAATCCACCAGTTGCTCCACAGAAGGATGATGGGCAATCTCCTCCCTTGTGATTAACTGCATCTGAAAACTCATTTATGGGTCAGCTATGGGTTTTGTCTGACTCAATATCAAACAACAGCAACAAAAAAATGCACAGGATAGGGCAAGTTTTCTATTTCTTGTTTATAGAGTTGTTATGTGCGGTAGAAGACTAAACAACACATAACAATAACAACACACTTCTTTCTGTTACGTATGGGATTAGTATGTCAACTAC